GCGAGAGTTTGGGAATAGATGTCCCACTCTTCAATGTCTCTGCACTACCTCTGCAGAGGATGTACAGAGAATACAGCAGCAGGGTGGGGAATAAGGTCCAGCAGGTTGGTAGGAGATGGTGAATAGGGTAGGAGAGTGTTGACTTGCTGGAGCAACTGTTGGAAAAAGTCTAAGAGAAAAGTGAGGTGACAGAAAGAGAAACAGAGAGTAATGTGTGACAAGCCAGGGGGAGCTGACACTGAGTCTAGAACATTCACTGGCCTGGGAAAGGGAGGAGACAGGTACTCAAAGATAGTTTTAATAGGTATTTCCTGAAGGTTTGAGACTGCATCAACAGGAATAAAGACAAAAGGGAAAGAAAATCTGAGACTGTAAGTGATACACCAACTTTAATCCTTTCTGATCAGAAAGGTTTTGTAAACATCTCCCAGGAGTACTAGTGTTTTTCTTACCTCCAGAAACACACCTCCTTGCAATCTCCCAGAGAATGAGTCCAAAACTGTACATGTCAGCCATGATATAAGACTGGAAATGATTTCTGTTCAAGCTCTCATCCAGCACTTCTGGAGGCATATAGCGCTTGGTGCCCACTCGTGTGTTGGGTGGAATGTCAACCTCGTTTGTATCACTGAGGGAAAGCAAAGGGAGGCATCGTCAGCACTGGAGAGGCCGCTCTAGCTCTCTGCAAGAGCGTGTCAGAGGCGATGCAAAGAGAAAAACTTAGAGTGAACAAAAAACATTTCCTCAAAAAATATTTCTCAGTAAAACTTAAAACATTCTAAGATTAAAACATCCAGACCAAGTGCAACTACATGAGAATGAAGCCGCAACACACATAATTATATTAATACAAAAATAAACTCTCAACTATTTTTTAAATATCTAATAAAAGTTGTACACATGCAAACCAAATGCTTGAGATGAAGAGCAAGAGAATCAGGAGTTCAGGGCCAACCTCAACTGTGTAATGAATTTGAGGTCGGGCTGACTTGCAAGAAACCAGTCTCAAAAACTAAATAAACAGTGGCAAATAAATACCTAAAATGTGCCTTTCTTCTTTGTACATTTTAATGGATTTGTTCTCAAAACTGGTAAATACATCTATCAACTTGGCTTTAACATCTTGGCAATAGTTTATGAGAGAGGAAAGTATGCCAGGAATAGGCTTAAAGGGAAGCTAGTAAAATGTCAGAAGGGAAAGCACCACCCAGCACACTGTATGAAACTGGTAACTCTCAGAGAACTAAGGAAGAAAAGTTTCCCTGCTATTATGCCTGCTGACAACTATTATATGAGTGCAAAGGGGATATTTCATTGACATACTATCTGTGTGTGTGTTACAATATATCATTTTTAATCATTAGAATAGTGTAATAGTGGTCCCAATTATGGAATTTTGGGTTTTGGACAGACAAAATTAGAGGAAAGTGGATATCTAAAGGCTCTCATAGTATTCAAGAATATATACCAAGAAAGGAAATCAAGAATCATCTTAGGTTAGGACACCCAAGATTGTATCGGGAAAGCTGGAGATACATTGTAGCCCCAGGGGATGAAGATGATTGACAGCTCCACTCTTACAGATAGGAGGACAGGCAGTGGTTGGTGGATGCGTGGTAAAGATCTATCTCTGCTGGGGAACTGAAAGGTAACTGCTACCAAACGACACCAGTAAGATTGTCTCAGGACTCTACCCCTTCATCTCTAACTTGTTTCCCCGGTAAACAAGTCCGATGGCAAATGGTCAAGGTTCTCAAGGTTGGTCACTTGCAAAACCAGCAGCTCCTCCCACATGTTTGTGATGGCCACTCCCTCTCCCCTTCCTCTGCCACCCGTGTCTCCCAGTAGTATTTGAATAGCATCTTCCCTATGATTAGCAGAAATTATCTCCAGTAGAAGTATTTGAATAATTATCTAACAATGTAAAGACTTTAAGTTCCTGTAAGCCCTGAACGTCTGCTGCAGTCATTTGGTATGGCCCTGAAGATGAATGCTCCAGTTCATCTTCACTCTGAATAATTATCTAACAATGTAAAGACTTTAAGTTCCTGTAAGCCCTGAAGGTCTGCTGTAGTCATTTGGTATGGCCCTGAAGATGAATGCTCCAGTTCATCTTCACTTGTTACACAGCTTGCACACAGTAGGAAGAAAATGAACTAGGAAGAGTGAAAAGGCCTGCTAACAGTAACCTTTGCTATGGGTAATTTAAAAGAAATGTGAAACTGTTATGGAAAAACCACAAAAAATGAATTGGAATTAGTATCCAGACAGACAGGTGGGGTTTCATTGGCCAGATTGATTTTGTGAAATATTATTATTAATCTTATGGTCAATGCTTTTAGCACCACATTTAAACAGCAAACATGCTCATTATAAGGAACTCCTTCTGGATACTAACAGATTTCATATTCTCTAAGCTAGAGCTCTGTATCTTTCCATTGGGCATGTTTCTATGTACAGAGGATCAGGGACTTTGCTGTGAGATTGTATCTCTAGGTAACATCAGAGGCTGTACATCAAGCATGAGCTGAACAAGGGTGACACCAATGAACATGTTAAACTGGGTGGGGAAAAAGCCCAGGGAACCATGAGCCATACATAGAGAAGTACAGGCAACTGAGGAAAGTTGGGAGCAGGAGAAGTGGTCCTCCCTAGGATAGAGTATACCAATCGGTTGTCAAGTTCAAACTGTCCATTGGGAAAACACACAAGTAAGACTATATGGACTCAATAGGTCATATTTAGGAATATTTATGCTTATAACAAATATATACATAAAATAACAATCAGTGGAAAAGGGGGCAAATATATTTTGGAGAAGAGTAAGTAGGGTATATTGAAAGGATGGGAGGGAGAAAAGAGATGGGAGCAATGTTATGATTAAATTGTAATCTCAAAAATAAAGCAAACGAAAGAAAGTAATGATGGG